TGTGTTTGACCACTTTTTGGTCCCAGTCAAACTGGGGCTGTGCCACGGAGAGGTAGTACATACCTAACAAGATATCCATAGGGAGATCATCGCTTACTAGGAACGAGACGCGATGTCTCAATTCCCCTCCCGCGTACGGGAACCAACACTCAACATCCTGGAGGTAGTCGTACCATGCGCTGTTTGTTGGCACAGGTCAACTCCACAGGTCGACTTAGGCGCTGCACTTGCCCTTGTAAGCGCAGCCTCTCAACGCACGTGCGACTAATGAAGTTCCTAGTCGAGCAAGTGTCATAATAGGCCCCGGCCTTGCGGCCGCCGATGACTACCACGCCGACAAACATCTCTCCCTTAGGGGCTTTCGCCAATGCCGTCCAAGAAGCTAGTGGGTCTGATCTAGACCACTCCTCCTCTAGCTCCTAAGGATTCAAACACGTTCATCGAACAGGGGCTCGATGGGTCAGAATGTGTTTGCAGGACGACTATGGAGTCAGTAGCTTGGGCCATCTCTCGAGATGGTGAGGGTGTGTCCACCACCTCGACCCTAGCAGGAACAACTACCATTCCTATAGGCCTGACGCGTTTCCCGGAGCAGTGCTAGAACTGCTAGCCACATTGCTACCAACGGGAGCGGAGGATCCCAACGCCTGCCCCGTCGTAGGCGGGATCTTTTCGGTCACCTTCTTATTGCGGCACTTGAATTGGTTGTGGCCATATTGGCCGCAACGAATACAGGTCTGCCGGGTGTACCTGTCTCTCCACACGTCCTCTGTGAGACCCGCTTTCTCCCATGGAGGAGCATTGGGGTCAACTTGACTCCTAGACCGGGAACCTCCACGGCGTCTACCGGTCGCCTTTCCTTTTTGAGCTACGGTAGCGACTACTCCACCCCCCGAAACCTCTACGCTGCCAGCCTCTGAACCTACTCCCTCTTGGAAGTTGTCATCTAACTCGATGGTTGAACCATCGTTATCAACAAACATAATGCGACCCTTCGCCTTCCAGTTGGGAGGCAGTGACTTTCTCCTACCATCCGTAGTGGGTGTCTGGAGGCCTTTAGACCCTCGTTTTTAGGCTGTCAGGCTGAAATGACACGGGGCCTGGAGGCCCTTGTTTTCAGGCTTTCAGGCTGAAACTGATACGGGGCCTGGAGGCCCTTGTTTTCAGGCTGAAACTGACACGGGGCCTGTAGGCCCTTGTTTTCAGGCTTTCAGGCTGAAAGTGACACGGGGCCTGTAGGCCCTTGTTTTCAGGCTTTTGGCCTGAAAACAACACGGGGTCTGTAGGCCCTCGTTTTCAGGCTTTCAGCGTGCAGCCTGTTGCAGGCGCAACATGTAACACATGGGAAAGCATCTTAGGTAAGAGCTGAGTAAGACCTGGGGGTCATAGCGCACCCCAGGGACACAGATCAGACGCTCTACAGCGTCAGTGGCTTCCCTTACTGACTTAAACTGCCTCGTGTGCAGTGTCAGGATCATATCAGTAGCCTTTTGGGCCTCCTGAGGATCATGCCACCTGTCTTCCACCAACTTTAGAAAGTCGTCCAGTTTCTGGGTGACCTCCCAAGCGCGAAAGTCATGACCGTACCCTTGTAGCTGCACTGAACCACTCAACCATCGTGCTGCACTCCCCTCTAAATAGGAGGCAGCCACAAGCACTTCCTCGTGCGGCAAGGTAAGTTTGCACTTGACGTAGACTGGCACTGCCCTCAACCAAGTGTCGAGGTCTTCGCCCCTCTTATCCCCCGTAAAGGGCTTAGGAGCGGCGATGACCATCTTTGGTACCCACTGACTTTGTCCCTGTACCTGCACCTGCAGGCTGCTGCACTATCTGCTGGGGCTGTGAACCCTGCAGTTGTGCAGGCTGTGAGACAGCAGGCGGCCCGCTTACGGCAACCTGAGACGAAGGTTGGGAGAACACTGTCTGTACAGGAACCTGCAAACTAGGACCTGCTGATAACCCGCCTGTTAAAGGCATACCCAGGGAGACAGGCTGAACCGATGCTGGAGTGGTATATGGGGATACCCCAGTCACACCGGTGGGACAAAAGGAGAAGGATGTACAACGGACAGTGATGATGCCGCCTGCGCTCGTCCGACCAAGACGGCCAGACTCTGCTGGATGTCCTGTAAGATCGCCGTGTGCTGGTCTTGCATCTCTACTACACCTAACAAGACCGACCTCAGGGTCCTCACCTGATCATCCAACTCCTGTGGGTCCATCTCCTCTAACTCGCTAATGTCCGCTTGTCGTCGCTGCAACCTGGCTCTTCTCCTAATCATTCTTTCTTTTTCTGCCTTAATCTCTCCTAAAGCCTTCTGTAGCTGTGCCTCGCGATCAAGAGCTCGCTGTATGGCGACTGGGAGTCGACACTATTGGCTGGCTTGCCATTACGCCAGTGGACTGACTCATGGTCTGCGCGACCATTGACCCTATAGTCCCTGAACTGCTAGCCTGGGAACTCTGCTGCCAGCTGCGACTTCACTTGCAAACGCCCTGCTGGCCTCTGCTGCCCTAGCTCTCCTCTGCTGCCCTAGCTCTCCTCTGTTGCTGCTGCGGCTCTCTAAGCTGGCGGAACAGAAACCTGTCACCCTCTGGTCCTAGGGCCAAGTGGGCTACCGGGCGTCTCGCTGATCGCAAGATCCGGTCGTCCTCACTAGTGATATCCCTATCGCTCATATGCTACAGAACTGCACACCGTCTGCACTAGGACACACGATCGATGCGTACCACAGCGACATGTACAGACCGAATTATAATAAAATAATATAAATAATCGGCGGCTATGTCAGAGACTATACATTCGGGTTCAACAGGTAAGTTCAGATTCCTACAAACGAAACTACTTTGACTTTGACTGGTTCGCAAACAGAAGCACAATGAACAAAGAACAGTTCTAAACTATGCTGTCTGTCAGATGTCAATGGCTGTACATCTAACTAATCAAAATAAAAATAGAATCGTTGGCAGCACCTCAAAGTATGATCGCATGGAGCTGATCCAGGACGTCATATCGTCCTTCCCATCGTACCTAGGCGGAATCTGCGCCGCCTTCTTGTGCACATAGAGACCGCTGTAGCTCGGACCAGCATTTGATGTGTCCATATTTGCGGCAGCAGTTCCAGAATTTTCGGCGCCGCTGCTTGCTGCAGTCACTGGAATCTGCACTCACTGCAGTTCCCACTTGGCTGATCCCCAGACTTGAAGATGTAGAGGAGGTGGGAAGAGGGGCAAGGAAAGTGTGAACTACAGCATTGGGAGCGGGGGGTAAAGGGGAACGGTTAGGAACTTGGCCTTGTTGCAAGTCTGCAAACATCTGCAGCTGGTTACGGTGTTCTTGTGCAAATTTGGTCATGTCTGCTGCAGTGGCACTGGAATGTGCACTTACTGCAGTTGCCGCTTGGCTGGTCGCCACACTGGAAGATGTAGAGGAGGTGGTAAGAGGGGCCAGGACAGTCTGACCTACAGCATTGGGAGCGGGAGGTAGAAGGGGAAGGTTAGGAACTTGACCTTGTTGCAAGTCTGCAAACGTCTGCAGCTGGTCACAGTTTTCTTGTGCAATTATGGCCATGTCTTTCCACAGCTTTTTGACTTCGTCAAAGAGCTGGCAGATCTGGCCCGAATGGTCTTCAGGAGACCAGACTTTAACTAGGGCCCTGAGGAGTGGAGCAGTCTTCTTTGCAACTTGCACACCAGCTAGTGCAGAGACAATCCTAAAGCTGGCCTCTTGGGCTCTCAAACCTTCTCCCCTTCAGTCCTCCTCCTCCTCCTCCTCCTGCAAGGCTTTTCATAAAAGAATCGATATTGCTTTTAATCTACCTCAGCGTCAATGTACATTTGGACCTTGCAGTCTGCTGCAGTCATTGCCATGGAGGAGGATTGGGGTGTCAGTGAGTCCGTGAAGAGGGGTCTGCAATTCCTTCCTTTCTGATGAACACTCCTCCCCGCTTTCCTCACTCCCTCAAGTGAAGCACTTGAACAACTTCTCTCTCCTCTCTCTCTGGAGAATGACAAATAAAACATCACAAGAGAAATAAATTCAAATAATTCAACAAGAGAGGTCCAATTCAGCGACCCAGTCAGCAATTTGTGGAGTAGACAGTTGCGAGCCAAGCTACGGGCTGCATGTCAGAGTTTGCAGAAAAATGCAGTCAAGATCCCCTTGAAAATTAATGTCCCAACCTTACCGTGGCCCCTCCTTCCAGCAAGGCAGAGAAATGCTTGCAGTGGCTTTAGATCTGGTAGCAAGGGGGCTCTACTCCATTGGACCAGGTCCCATTGTCTACCAAAAGGTCCCAGGTAGGTTGGTGACCTAGTCCAGCTAAGAGGAGTCCCACCTTGGTCCCAAATCTATCACTGTGGTACTGAAAGAAAAGACAAACTGCAGATGGCCCCTACTCAACTACCATTCAGGACAAAAGGACAAAAGCACTGTAGAAAGTTGTGCAAGACTATGCAAGACGCTTCCATCCGTCCATCCATCAGGTGAGAGAGCAGTCCGCAAACTCGTGCACAACAGCCAAGATCATATAGAGTAGGCATTGAGATCCAGCATACCCCATTATGCCATGCAGCAGCATGCACACCACAATGGGCATCCCTCAGTTACATGGCACTTATCTGTGTGACCTGGACTCTGAGATGTGTAACTCACCCCCCTCTCTCCTATGTTCTCCTGACCCATGTCCCAGTCAAACTAGGAGGGCCTACTCTATACCAATGTACAACACCGTATCCCACGCCGATGTTGCAGACCAATAAGCAACTTGCAGTCCTTCGGTGTAGCCATGGCTACTTCCCCCAAGCTGGCCTCTAGAAGGGAAGCCCAAAGGTCGCTCGATGTCCTCGTCAAGTTCAGATTGAGTTTGAAAAAGGAACAGGGTGATTGTTTGAGTTACGTCAGTGGACTGTGGGTGATGGTTATATTTAATTGCATTGCATGTCTGCTGTGTGTGGTTGATGTGGGTCACCTTTTTATGTTTGCCCGGCGGCTACTGCAGTTTCTTTGGAATGGACTCTGGTGAGGGGGGCGAGCCCCATGCCACCTCCAAGATGTGCTCACGCTGCTGTAATGGTGGAAAACCGGCATAGCACGCAGTCGATAGAGACACGACTCTTAATGTTTGGCGGACGAGGTAAGGAAAAAAATCTTCAATGCTGACAATGCCCACACAATGCATGGGGCCCCTGAAGAAGCTGTTAGCGTAGTCAAACTGTTGTTCATGGTCATGGAAACAGGACAGTGTGCAGCAGCACTCGTAAGTGTACTGATTATAGTGATGTTTTCGGGGCTAGACCGCGGCTTGGGCCGGCAGGCGGAGTCTGCCCAGGTTGGCCAAAAAGTGTATGCAGAATCCGTCCTCATCTCTTAAGACCTGTGTTTTGTTGATGTCGGACGCTCGGGGGAGGATTTTGGGGACTTGGGGGCTTGTAGCATCACAGCGGGTAGATGCCATGGGCTACAGCTTTGCATTGTGCAGCACCAAATCCTTCAATTACTGGGGTTGCAGGCTGCTGCCTCCCTACAAATGGAGCGAAGTGCATGCTAGTGGGCACTGTGACACAGCAAACTTTACGGAGCTCGTGGTGTTAGCACGCTGAGTTTAACTGACATATTATTGACACAGCAAATTACATCATTTAAACTCAGTCAGTTATTGGAGCCTTTTGTGTAATGGTGCAGTTCTTTTTTTTTGTGTTTTCTGTGATGGTCATTCGGTAATTGTGTTGCCTTATGTATGCGTTGTGCCGACTGCTATGTTTTGGCCATTCAACTTTCGGCCACACCACTGATACAGTTAGGGGATTTTCATATGGCTGTCGGGTTCTGCGTTCCACTTTCGGCCACACCACGCATGTGTGCAACGATAATGATGCCCGTTAGATCGTGGTTGGGTGTTCGATGGAGGATTGTGAGATGTCGAATGTAAAATTCCGCCCGTCTGTCACAGTGCGAATCATTGGTAGATGTGCGATGTGAGTCGTACAGGCGGTCGAGTGAGAAAATGAAGCAGATGGTGTGGCCTTTTCTTTTTTCTTTGGCGCGTTCCATTTCGCTTCTTTTCTCTGTGTGTAGCTTTTCTTTTTCCAGTTGGCGAACAAATGGGCTCACTACACTCCACACTTCCTTGTACATTCAAAATGTTGGATTCGGCGATTCACCCAAGTGCATGTGGCTCCGTTACAGTTCTCATGCATGTAGAGTGTTGTGTAGTGGAGCGAAGCTGGAATACGGCCAGCGGCCCAAATCTCAGTCAGTAGTTCCGTGAACTGTCCTGCATTCAAATTGTGATGCCAGCGCCTGGTCCGTTCAATGATGATGGGCCTTGCTCCACTACTCACCAATTGTGCAAAATGAGAATGAGTATTTCGGTAGAACATGGAAGGATACACGGCCATAAGTTTTGTCTTTTGTGCATGTGGTGGGCCTTGCCCCCGACATCTCAATGTGGAACAGAGATCCAAGTGGAGGCTCATCAGGGGACGATTTTTGTTTTTATTATTTTATGTACGTCTTTGCACCTACCGACCCACACCCCCGGACAGGGCCCCAGCGCACCACTCATCAAATGTGAAAAAGACACAAATATCTCGCATGCATCTGATGTCAAGGGGGAAATACATCCTCAATTTGCACATTTGGTGAGTGGTACGGCGAGGCCAATGCTAAAAGACGCACACCCACAGACATCACAACAGAACAGCGCATGCATGCATGCTCACACACATACACACATATGTCGCATGCATCTGATGTCAAGGGGCAAATGCATCCTCAATTTGCACATTTGGTGAGTGGTACGGTGAGGCCCATCCACAGTCATCACAACAGAACAGCGCGTGCATACTCACGCACACACATCACAACAGAGCAACGCATGCATACTCACCCACACACATCACAACAGAACAATGCATGCCAACTATTGGACTCTTCCTTCAACTGGGAGGTAGCTGTGTGTCTTTGTCTGTGTGTGAGAGAGAGAGGAAGCGGTTGCAGCTGACTCGGGAAGTGTGTTGTCGTATGGATTAGATGGAGGTGAGACAACGTGCAGAAGTAGCCGTACATGCGAACATCTAACATGTGCAGAGACACTGCCACACAGCCGAGCTAGAGGAGCCCATAAAAGAGTTAAAAGTTTCCCCAGCTAGAGAAGCACGACCATGGTTACAACCACGGTCAAACGCATGGACAGTCCATGGACACGTCTCCAAGAACGGGCCAGGCACAAACTGGTCTTATCCCGTGTTTATTATGGTCAGGTTTGGGGACATAGCCATGTGCAACTATAACTGCTGTGTTTGTGATATGTCTTCCCTATCCTATGAAGACTGCCTCTGGTAGTGCCATGTACGTTCGAGTGGTGAAAGTTTGAAGCACTTGGATATCATGATTACTGATTGTCTCATGTCTGTCACCAACGTACCACAGCTCTAGCGGACTCAGCAGCCTATCCTACTGAAGGAGCCAAAAGCAGACTGATTGTCCAACGGCTACCAAAAGGCTCGGTAACAATAACAAAGCACAAATGCTCCTCGCTCTTAACCACGCATCCCAGATGACATCTCTCACAATAAATAAATTTATTTCTGCATGTTCCATTTGCAAGGAAGATGAGCATTAGCGAACTTCAGCAGTCAAACAGCATCATATACACAAGACCAGATAGTCGTGACCTCGAACCAACAGCAGAATTGCATCACGAGTTTCACCAAATAAGAACACACCAAGAGCTCATAATTGACAATGCTGGTAAAGTCTCATCATCATCATCAATGAAGAACCAATGTTGATATCCTATCTGGCGCTCGACGCCCAGACTACAGATGGCAGATCCTATCTAGCCTGGACTACAATGCCGAAGATGACGTCAACAGCTTTCCCGAAGTACGAGCGTACAGCGACCAATGTCGCATGCTTCCAGCACCAGGTATGTCTCTCGCCTCAATCACAACCTCGTTCCTCAACACACTTGCACCCAAGGACCACCCTGCTCCACACCCAGCTTGCTGTCCCAGGCTGCGCTGGGCCTTTCCCAAGAAGCTTCCGGTAGGCCCCAGTAGGCTAAGGCCCAGTCCACACAATTCAGGCCCTGGGCCTGTAGTGGTTGCTCGCGCCCAACTGTCAACGGCCTGTGTTAGGCCCACATCCCGTATCCAGCCCAGGGCCTGCCTTCGATACATTCACACAGGCTGCCCAGGGCGTGGGTTCTTTCAATCAACTGGCGCTGCGCGACTGCCTGAATTTCCTTGAGTTGCGTGGTGACCGAAATAGGGGCCCTCAGGCCCTCGTCGTGCCTGCCTTCACTTAGGGCGGCCGACATGATACTTGGCAGGTCCCAAAAGGGGCTCATAGGGGCATAAGCCTCACACATTTATCTCACCAGCATTTTGAAACCGGAAGGGATAACAAAAGTGTGCGGTGGCTTGCAAAAGACCTTCCGACCAGTAATGCTTCTGGAAGACCCGATCTACCAGTTGTGGATCTGGAAGACCCTATCCATGAGCATGATATGTGTGTGTGTGTGTGTGTGTGAGAGAGAGAGAGAGAGAGAGAGAGAGAGAGAGAGAGAGAGAGAGAGGAGGCTGCTGTTGGGAAACAGTGTAGGTGTGTTGCCATGGACATTGCACTGTTCTCTGTTTTTCGCTTCACAGCCAGCTATCCAAAACTGACTAAGGCAACAGCATTGCCATCTTTCTGTCTCTCTCTCTCTCTCTATGTACTGCAATAGACATGCTATTTGTCAGGAATGTATGGTTGGCATGCTTAATGCGAGCCGTCGTGGCAGTTGTTGTTTTGAGAATGCTCAGTTAGGTCTTCCATGCGCTCATCCACCCCATCCTTACAATGTGTGTCCTTTCTGTCGTCA